TTGTTGTAATATTTTTTATCGTCGTAGACAATAAGGAAACATACGAGTTTAAGTTTAATTATATGAGATTTTCATTAAAGGAAAAATTAAGTACTTTTTTTGCTGTTTTCTTTATTTTGATAAATTATTTTTATTTTTATTTTTTTTTGTATTTATTCTGAGCACTTAAAAACTTTTCGATTCTATTTTTTCTTATCTTTCATTGTCCTTCCTGTTTAGAACTTTTTAGGCAAATTCTTAGGCGTTTTTGCAGAGGTTTTTTAATAAAATATTTCAAACGGTTGGCATAACACTTGAAATCTCCAAGCATATGCCGCCAAATAATTTTTTTACCAACATCTGGTAATATTAATTCAAGCTTTTTCATTCAAGCTGTTCCTTTTGAAGAAAAAAAATTTTTTTTTTTTCTAAATTTTTCAACTATAAAATTTTTGATAAATTGTTTTTAAATTTAATCCGATAAAGAAAATCAAGGTAACCCTTATTATTGCAAATTTTATCAATTTTTCCTTAAAAAATTTGTAAAACTGTGATGCTACTCTATAAATAACAATTATAAGCCTTAAATTTTAATTCCTGACGTATTATATTGAATTAACCTTAAATTGCCGATAAGTTGTTCATCTTTATTTTATTAAAATTAATTAAAGTTTGATATGTCGCTCTTTGCATGAATGATGTTTGAGTTTGATGTAAAATTTTGTGTGAAAGAAAAACCTGTTTTCATTAAAATTTTATTAAACATTGAGTAGAAAATAAAAACTTGCAGTTCGGAACAGTTTCAATATCATATGATTTTATTTATTAAATTTTTGTCAACTCTTAGAAATAGGGTCTTATATAATGGTCATCAAACAAAATGTATGAACAAAATGTATGTTTGATGTTTAAATAGTGGATGTGTAAAACTATTAATTCTCTATAATTCTTATAGCGCAAAATTGTTAGAATAAGAACCTTATACAATTTACATGACTTGAATAAAACCAATTTACAAAGTAAAAAATAGTAGAGGGAATTATGGCTCAGGCCGTTATGGAATTTTTAATTTTGATATTGCTACATAATTGTAAAATAGTTTTGTACAAATTTAAACAACTAAACTATTATGTCATACTATTCGATTGCTTAATTGCAAACGATCAGACCAAACAAACTATAGAATAGTTGAAAAATTAAAAATATGCTTATACCTGTCAGCCTGAGCTCTTACAATCTTAAAATATTATTAGAATTTGGAATTTCAAGAGAATTAATATAATTCTCTTTAAATTCCAAAGTAAATTATTCAATAAAAAATCAAAATAATTTTTGCACTTGACACGAACTAAAACATTGCCTATGTAAAAACTACTTTATTTCAAATCATTTCTATCTTACATGTAACAACTATGAATTATGTAAATATTATAAAATTTTTTTTTTTATTTCTTCCTCCTACAATGTCTGTACTCGTATAACACATAATTGATTCTTATAAATGTAGCTGTGTGTATAACTAAAGTGCATAAAACTAGATAAAAAAAACGAAAGATTTCTAAAAGCAAAAAAAAAAAAAGAAGGTTAGAAATTCCTCTATGTACTTTTTATGTATATATAATCATAAATTGTGTAGCCCACGTAAAACAAGGACAAAAAAAAAGAGTTATACATGCATATAGATATATGCAAGCGTATTTGAATTTACAAATATATGCACATGTATTACAGTCGCATAGGCAAACTTGTTGCTCACTATTTTCTTCATACTTAATAATTCCGTATAATTTTTGCAAATTGGTCTTTCTATTACATAAAAAAATAAAAAATAATGAAACAAGAGAAAATTAATTTAACATTTCTCAAAGAATCAAATCTCAAATATCGAATTTTCAGTAGTTTTAAATTTATTAACAACTGTTAGGATATTAATCTTCTGAACATTTGAATTAAATACATAAAATCCATTCTCATATCATATGGGTAATCATTAACGAATATGAGTATGAATAAAGAGCTACATAAGTAATGAAGACTCTATAGGAAAATTACGATCAGAAAATTTTACTTATTCCCTCATAAGCACAACAATTGTTTTTAAAACAAAAAATATCACACATAACTTTTACTACCACACAAATCAATATCGGACATCCGATAAATCGAGAGATTACAATTGACTCCAATTAGAATTCATCGCAACAACCAATTCATATTTTTTAAATAAAAACAAAATTTGATTGATTTGTAAAATTTACACAAAAAATAAATTTATTTGCAATAGTACAAGAAGAAATTAAAAATAGCCCTGACAATTATGTTTTGTAAGTTTACTATACGATAAAAATATAAAACAGAATTCCTAAAATTTGAAGGTTACGGAAGTACGAGTACATTAAAAATTTAATTGAATGAAAATAGTAACAAATATTTTATACTGACCCAGAAGCATAAATTTTAAAACGTTATTTTTTTACATATTTCATAAAAATTTAATTAATCTCCAGCTCACCTTAAGAGAATTTTCAACGAAAAACGAAAAAAAAGGAAACCTTGAATTATATTGAAAATTCAACATGGCAATGATTAAATCTGTTGATGATCTAAACCCTAAAATAATCCAAACAACTGAAGTTGTCATATTTAAAATAAAGCTTTATGATTTCATTTTAATCATGTCCCATGCAAATCGTAACAAAAAATAAAATATTCAAATCTTATTTTAAATCAAGTTGAAGTAATTTTTCTGATTTTGGTAGAAATATTTTAATTCTTCACTAACATTTTCCTTAAAATCTTATCTCACAAACACAATTTCGGTAAATATGATTCATAGGAAAATCCCATCAACCTTTTATGTTTCAAATTATTCTTATTATTTTATTGTTTTATTTTGCAAAAATTTATTCGACAAAGAAAATTTAATTTCGTTAGGCTCTTTTACAAACTACACAAGTGTGTTTACTAAACCGTATTGTAAAAAAGAAAAGCTAGTATTTTTGGTACATCATATCTTAAAGGACATAATAAAATTATAACAGAAAATCTAATTTATAGTAATAAAAATTTTTATCTTTTATATAAAAAACATAATATATAGAAGGCAATCAAAATAAAACGTTTCGGATGATAGGAACAATATAAAATATTTATGAGCACGTATGTACTACGAGTAAAATATTACAGAATTTCATGTATTAATAAATTGTTGAAAAAACTAAACCTTAAGTGAAAATATTGGAAAAAAATGGGCGGAAATTCACAAATATTTAAAAATAATTTTTTTTTAATCACCTAATTAGTTTATTTTTGAACAATTTATAATATACTTTAATAACAGGAATTGCATAATTCTCATATACATTACATTATCTCGAATTTATCTCTTGATTATTTGGACATTATAGGGTCCAAAAACAACCGCATTGCAAAAAAACCAATTTACTTATTTCGCAAATAAAATTTTCAATTCATAATAATTCTAAAAGAACTCATTTACTAACCGAGAATTTACTAGAATTTCATATATCGAACTCAAATCAACTCAATTTTTAGGGCAATTAGATGTTTTAATTTTCATAATGTTGGGTAACAATCACTAAAAAAATTCGCTTGTTTTAATTTTCATTTAGCTATTTGGTAACATTGATATCAATTCAAAATTTAGTTAAGATTTACAATTCAAAAATATTATAAACGAATACGAAATTTAGTAAAAATTGCATACAACTAGGCGAAAACATTAAATAATTTATTGTAAATCTTCCTTCGAATCAAGAATTGATTTAAATCTAATATATATAATTAATTTTAATTGTAATTTTAACTCTAAATTTAATTTAATTTAATTCTAAATTACCATGCTACCATGAATTTTCATATAAGGAAATTTTAGCGAGGTGTTCATTGAATGTAAGTTTTTTATTGGATAATTGGCTACACATAGCATATGATTTAAATATTATTATTTGTATAATAAATTTCTAATTTGCATAAAATTATTCATATATAATCATGAAGAATATATAAAGATACACAAATATTTTCATTTTTCCGTATGTTTCTTGTAGGCAGCGTTCCAGGTTGACGGATTTTGAATTTGAACATCATTTCCAATAAATTCTAGTGGCCTTCTAGATATACAAATCTTCCGTATTGAAATTTTTTGGTTCAAATCGATTACCTGAATGAAAACAATATAATATTGTGAATAGCTGTTAAGATGACTTAAAAAAATATTTGGAATTAGATTAGTCTAAATTGCCACTTTTATATGTTGTCGAATTTTTGAATTAAAGGCGATATTCTTAAAATGGTAAACGCATAATAATATAATGTTAATTGAAAATTTGTCTGCTAAGGCAATCACCTATACAGCAAAACTCTATAAAATTAGATATTAATATTTTTGAAATATATGTATGTATATATTTCAATGAACAACTATAATTCTAGCAGAGACCGTGTGATTTCCGAAATATCCTTGTTGAAAAAAAAACTGACGTTTACAAGATATCACACATATTTATTTTTTTCTTTATATTGTTATATAATTTTTTTATATACATACGAGTACATTTTCCTCCTTTATATTTTTTAATGCTAAAAAAAAAATCTATATAGATCAAGGATTTTTTCTTAATTTTCTTTCTGTTTGTGTAATGTTATCATGTTAAAATTTTGTTTTTGCTTTTTTATTTTTGTTTGAATAAACTCGTCTTATATATTTCGAGTTTAAATTGAATTTCATGGTTGGTTTTTTTTTTCTTTTTATTGATTGTTGTTATTATTAGTTTTCATCTCCTTTTCCTATACTATCGTAGTTACATAAGTATAACAGACAGAAAAATAAAATATATATATGTACATATACGTATAAGTATCTGTAGATCTTTGGACCTAATAACCTTGACCAAGATTTAATATACAATATATACATATATATCGTGTTTATGTATGTATGTAGATATAGTTTTGATTTTTCATCTTTTTCTGTTGAATTTTCCTATTTTATTTTTTACCATCATCACTATTATCTTCCATATTATATTTTTAATGAAATAACAAGCTCTTATACGTATAATATCATTATTATATTATTATTTTATTCTTCAAACAAAATTATTTTTTATTCTATATATATATATATAAAGTATATATAAGAAAAATAAAAATAAATTTCTATTAATTATTTTATTCTTTTTTTTTTATCTAAATTAATATTTAAGTAAAACAGAAACTAGAAAAAAAAATTTAATATAATAAACAATTCATGACAAAGGCAATTTTTATCCTTATATAAATATTAAGGATAATAGTTAACATTAACATAAATTAACGAACTATAACGGTATTCTATCTAAAAATTATTTGAAAGAGGTTTGTTAAAAAGTTTTTTATATTAAATATTTTTTTTTATCCATTAACTTAAAACAAACTGATTATAAATTTTTAATATACCAGCACTCAGAAATTAATGACTGTATACTTGTAATAATTAAATATTAATTTCTTAGAAAAAAAAGTTTTATTCCTATAATGCAATAGAATATGGAATGTAATATGTTTGTGTTAATCCTAATTGAATTCCATTTCAATACAAATATTAAATGTTCACTTTGAACGCGTAGCACACTATACTAGGCACAATTTAAATAAAGAATCAAAAATGAAACCATTTTATTTGCAAACAACTTGCTACTAATTAGGAGTATGTTAAAATGTTTCAAAAGAAACGCAGACAATATTACAAAGAATATTTTTTTTTTGTTCCATTTAATGGCACTTAATATTCCAAATGTATAACAGTTAATAAAGGCGTAGGCAGACATGCAATTTTTAATTTTGCAACTGTTTGATTGGTTATTTGTATTCAATAACTTTATATTCAAGCGTATGCACATACTACTGTATGATCGCTTGAAATTAAGCAATCATACATCTTATAATATTTTACAAAATGATTGCAAATTTTTAATTAATTAAATGGATGTGATATGACGCAATAATTTAGTGCTTAGATATTCACGGAACGATTTTACAATCAAACAGTAATTGTTAAACTAAAAATTCCATGCGTGTCTGAGTTCTTTTAAGTACGGTACTGTCTATACACCAACGTACTTAAAAAAGCTTACTTAATTGAAAGGAGTAACTACAGGGCATAGCGGTGGACACTTTTATATTTTTCATATTCACAGCATTTTATGTCTAGTCCTTGATATAATTTTAAATTACAAAGTATTTTTAACAATAACTATGTTAAACGGTTCTAATTTTTTACATATTTTCTTTTCTAATGTTGTTTAGAACATTACTAGGATTGTACTAGAATTGTCATAATCCCATTAAAGGAACGCTTGAAAGTACCTACCAAATATTATACATAAAATTTATCTAATTTAACAAAAATATTTGCTCATTTTTCAACCTACTGTCAAATCAATTCAAACAATGTTACCGATCAAATAACATAATAAAATCAAAATACATAAATTAAATTATATATGTATGTATATACATTTTATATTATGTAAATCTTTATATATGGAAATTGATCCAAAAAAAAAAAATTTTTAAAATTAAAATTCAGAGTCAATCAACCTGATATTTAATTTGATTATTTTTAACAAACAAAACTAAATCATATTTTGACCCAAAATCAATATCCAAAAAATTAAGGTCCTTTACCTATACATTAAATAAAAAAAAACTTCCATTTGATATAAAATTTAAAACTCCGAAATTATTCAATGACACGTTCATCATATATTTTGTTTAAAAATTTTATGTTCCTTATGAAAAAATGAAAAAAATGAAAAAATAAAAATTTTATTTTTAGAAATTCATTTCTCTTACTAAATCCTTATTTTCAATTGGAAGAAAATTTTTTGTTTTATTTTTCTGTCTTTTCCATTATCATTATAATAATTTTGAAAAGCTCTAATTCATTCACAAAATATTTGGCAACAAAAAAAGACTTAATGAGCTTTACTTGGCTTCTACCTATGTTGACTCTCAAAACAAAAGGAAAACAAAAATCATTAAAACTTTTGGAAATTTTACGGCTTTGAAAATTCAAAATGGAAAACAAAGCAAAGAGAAAAACTACAATGAAAACATAAGAAAAAACAAAAAAAAAATAAAATAATAAGGATTGGATTCTCATTTTACAGAAAATATCCTTTTTGTACCCAAAAATATTGGATGTAAAATGAGAAAATAAATGACAATTTACACATAAACAAAACTAAAATTAATGATGAAGAAGAAAAATATTTTGTAAATAAAGTAGTACAGAAAATATGTAGTACAAAAATTGTTATACAAATTAGCTAGAGGAAGGCTCTTAACCAATTATACTTTATTGTCTTTTCTTTTAAGTATTTTTAGTCTTTTAATTTGTAAATTCATTAAATTTTTTCTTCATAATTTATCATCGTTAATAATTTGCATTTTTCATTTAATATTTCGATTAAGGTTTTAAGTTTCGAGTAATATTTTAGAGTTGCCTGTGAATTTGTTTAGAAACCTCTTAATCTCTTTTTCAATCGCAGTTATGTTACAATAAACATAAATACATCGAACCTGTACTTAATTTGTAATTCTACATTTTCAATTACACGTCATCGGCCTTGTTTTTCTAATATCACACTCCTGATACACAAAAAATTCAATGTTTATTAAATTAATAGCTAGTAATAATTCACAACAATTGAAAAGTCCTTTAACACTTAGTTAACCAAACAAATTATTTTTTAAAAATATTACAAACGAATCGAAAATTTATTTATTCAGGGAATTTATAAAGTCTGAAAGAACAATAATTATAAAAAAATTGTAATAAGGATATTTGATATTTTTGTATTTAATCCTTTTAATTAAAAATTAATTTTATAAAAATGTACTCATTCAAACTACAACCCCGTAAAAATATACTACATTCACTTGCCACATTTTGAGTCAAGAATTTATATTTATATAACTATAGCTTTAGTCTAAATAATAAAAACGTTCTATTGTAAATACTTAGCAATAACTTTGCATAAATTTAGGGGAAATCATAAAGGAAGAATTTTCAAAAAAATTTGATTAGATTTAATTAAAATAAATTAAATAATATTGTTATAGAATAGACAATTTAAATATAATTTTTAGTTAGAGGACGATTATTGTCACAGCTTTCCTTTTATAGAAATACATCAGAGGTCTAATTGTGTTCAAGATATAATTGTTGAAAACCTGACATTTTTAAAATAAAATATTCTTTGATATCTTGTAAGATTCATTTAATTTTTCGATTACAGGAACAATTACTATAGAAATTGGCAATAGGATCACTTTTTTGTGAAGGGTAATTTGAAGAGCCAATTCAACAATTTCAGATTTGTTACAGCTATTTTCTTTCAAAAAAAGAAAGAATTTATTAGATTTATCACAGAAAAATAATCAGACAGCAAAGAAACTATACCCAAGTGGTAGAAGCTATTGCTCTCAATACATATCACTTTTCTTTACTAGCTAGTAAAGTAGAGTCATGTTACTATTACAGCTTTGTAAAACAAATTTTTATTATTTACAAGTACAACTAAATTTATTATTTGAAAAAAATTATTTTTCACCACTAAAATATCGGCCACATCCTTTCCATTATTCCTGTTTTTGTTTCAGTTTGTACAATAATTTATTATTTGTTCCAAAGTACAATACCCATAATAACTTAAAGCCAAAAAGTCTTGAATTCTTCTAGAAAACTAAACTCGAAAGAAATTTTTTTTAGCTTTAACAAAAGATAGTAGATATTCCAAACTTTTTTACAAAGAAAAGGTAAATTATCAGAACAAAAATCTATATAATTTAATATTTTACATACATACGTAAACACATGCATAACTACCATAATTTCAACTTTGACAATGAAAGAAATTACGAAAATACTTTGTTGCGTCGCCACCTTAAACCTAAACGATTCTATTTATACTGTTATTAGCAATTTTTTATAAAAAAGAGGAAAATATTATATTTTGTTCTTAAAATTCCTAACAAACAACAAAGAGAGTATTGTGAAAAAAAAAAAACAAATATTTTCTTACATAAAAGAATAGAAAAACTGAAGGCATTCTGTTTAAAGAAGAAAAATATCTGGTCAAAATCGTTATCATTCTTTTACTATCATGAATTGCTTTTTATCCTTTTTTATGTGAATAAAGTACAAAGGATCAATTATATGAACTGAAATTTAACACTCCCCATTATAGTGTATATTTTTTTTTTCTTTTCTTGTTTTGTATAGAAAATATTCAAGAACAATAGAATTTATTATGTGCTTTATTAATAAATACTTTTACACATACATAGTTTATTCATATATATGTATGTATATAGAATTTATGTATATACAAAATGTATACCTTTGAAGGATACAAGTTAAATCTTTTCGTATACATTATTCTTTTGTACACAGCCCGAAAAAACAAAATAATAGAAATACATCCGAATAAAGTAAACCCGATAAAATAAAAGGAAAATAAACTCTCCAACAACTCGGGTAATTGAAGGGCATGAAAATAGCTATTAATCTAAAATTTTTATTCTTAAAGTTAAATAAATTTATTTAGTTTTTTTTTTACAGTTTTAGTAACAAATAAAAATTTTTAAATTGTTTACAGAAATATTTTGTCCTTTCCATTGAAAAAATAATAAAATTCATGTACACGTACACATTGCATTAAAAAAGTTGTTCGATTCTAATTTGCATACAATTCTCGAAAAAATTTTATCGTTCCAAGAATCATCATTTTCATTTAGCTAAAACATTTTCCAAGGATCCCTACTAATATTACTAATTCTTATTGTAAAAAATATGATGTAAATAGAATGCAATAAAAATAACTGTTAAATATATTTATGATTATTGAAATATTTCTCCAAAAATTTTTACATTTTCGAAAGGGAAAAAAGACATAACACTATCAGAATGATATAAAAGAAAATGTTCAACCTTAAATATATCAAATATCAAGCAAGATAAATCTAATAATTTT